TGAACAAAACACACTTCATGTCAATACGCCAATTTTAGAATTGATTTCTTCCAAATGTTGTATTTGAGGATCTAGCATGCTCAACTGTTTTCCTAGCAATTTTGTTATTGCGAACAACTTTTCATTTATATGACATAATTCAGCAACCTTATTCACACAACAGATTGTTTATGAACAGTATTCTGCTTCTAAAATATATGAAGCTGGATTCAGTTCCAAATCCTACGTTATATGATGGATATTCAGAATTCTGTTTTGAATTTTACGCTAAAATCATGTAGCCAATACACTGGGAACGAATGATGTGTAGTTGAGAGGAATTAAGTTTCTGAAGGTTCAAAATTGTGTTTCAGAGTAACTTTCTGTTCCTTACTCTTAAATCAATCAAAAAAGTAATCCCAGAAGTTCAATGGAGAGCCTCCTTTTGGACGAATAATAACTGTAAACTTCATTTTAGTGCTGAGTTGCGATTTTTATTACATCAGTCATATCATTTTACTAGTCTATACTGGTGAGAAATGTTTGTTGGAATCTAATTTTCTATTAAAGAATAGTTTTTTAGACAATTTATGATTCATTACAAACTACTTAGGCTAGTGCAACATCCATAGAAATACATGGAATGTACCGCAAAGTTGTTTCATTCTAGTTTATGACTCGAAATCAGTGCACGCATCTAAACAAGCCTGAACCAATTGAACAGAGAATACTTACTACAATAATCATATGGATAAATAACAATCATCTGGGCTTTATTAGATAATTTCGGGATACATTTCCAGAAATTCTTGTGGAACATAATGATTCATGGAGTTGTCTAAGTATACAGTAAACACTAACTTAATAATTATATTGGTTAAAGATTACAGTATATCACAGACTGACTAAATTTGAACATTGAGTTCAGTGGTTTCCATCTCAATGGTTGACGACTACTTTTAGTGTCAAAAAAACTTTTATGACTTATCTTGGAAAGATAAGTGAACATGCTTAGGTGGTCTGTGCCCAGGATGGGACAGTATGTCACTTCCTGTTTTCCATAGTTTTCTGTGAACGATATCAATTTATGTGAAAAATTATAAGACGAAAAATACCATTGAATTTATAGTGGATTACATCAATATTGTAGAAGAATCATGAGTATCTTACTAAATTATACATTATTGATAAATTTTCTTAACTTGGTACTTTGATGTAGCCACAGATGTATTGTGATCAAACAACATTTTGCCTACTAAATCACAGTGTTGGACAATACATTTAGTATTAGTTAAATATAGTAAAGTGGTGTAACATGATACGGTTATCTGATTAGTAAACTACCTGCCTACATACGTTAGTCAACGAGTAAACAGTATTGTATCAATGTGGATATATATATACAGTTTGATAAACAAACACCTTATCAACAATCTGATTGATGTTTGGTGTATATCATATTTGCTGATTTGTGTATATATAAGTATGGAATTAAATATCCAACAGATTTTCAAGTGTACTAGTTCAAATATGCCCATAATAAGTGGAGAATAATACAATAGTAATTTAACCGGAGGAATGGACAAAGGAAATTTTAATTCAGACTGAACGCTAATTGGTTAAAGTCATTCATATACTCAGGGTTATTTAGTGGAAGATCTATGACAGAATATGTTGAACAATTAATGTACACCAATAAATCATGTTCTTAGTTTCTTATTGATAACTGAAACTTATGGATTACTACACTATGAATCACAGGCCATCTAGTTCGTTTTTATAAAATGGACTGGTTACTAAGTACCAGACAGTGTTATGCTTGTCTAGTGCTGATCCAATCCTATCTAGTATCTTAACTTCTCACTTGTAATAGTCGTAATATTTCTTCAGTGCAAACCTTTCACTAAACATTTTCGTTAATCAATAAGTATATCTTTCCTATATTATTCATTCTCTTGGGAATAAATTTTCTAAATTTTGAATAAATCAGACTGTATAACTATATGATTTAGTTCCTGTCCGTTGATCAATACATACAAATATAGTTCAATAACATATAGTTTTTTATTCAATAAAAAAATCCTTCCTCTTTTTTCTTTACAAAAAAATTGTGAATACAATTATACAACATGAAGAAATAGAACGTTTCAGTGTTTTTAATCTTATGTAGTGACATAATATTGTTAATTGAGATGCTTTGGTTTTTATCAATAATCCAATCAGTTATCATACCTCTTGTTACTTATCTAAATGTTATTCTTATCGTTTTAAGTAAGAATCCTAATCATAAACTACAAATAACTTTTTTCATGTTTTAATTCATTTGAATGTACAATCCACTTGTATATATATATATATACTTTTTATTATTACAAAACACTATTTACATAACATATATTGCTCAATCAGCTGTTGTAAAATAAACAACAATTGACTGGTGAATTAACATGATAAGAGCTAATTAAACGTAATCAATAGTTTAATTTGAATATTTACAAAATCAGTCCACTTATATTGATTATTCACTATACGTACTGTGATGTATCATTTGATCGAAAACTAACATATACTAGATTATTCGTAACCATTATTGGGTACATAATTGTTCTAGTGAGGAAAATGTATCAGTTTTCCCTGTGAATTAGTTTGTTGAAAGAGAACATCGAAAAAAAAACAAGTAAGAAGGATCTGATTGAGCGTCATCTAATTTTACCAAGGTCATCCATTAGGCGATTTACTTATAAGATGAACATAGTTTGGCTTTATGAACAATTGGTTATATATTCAACAAAGTTTTGGATTCTATTTGTAACTGCCTGTTATGCTCGTTGGTCATTCAAGGTCAAAAGCAGTTCCTTGAGTAAGCAAATCAAGACTGATTATGATAATTAGGAGTATTTGAATTGTAGTACGAACTAAGAATCCCAGAAATAACGTAATGGGATCAAGAAGTACTAGATAAGCACAAACGAATGTACTGTATTTGGAATTCGAAATCAAGCATTCAACAAGTACAAAGGAATCATTAGTTCATTCAAACATCACACTGACCTGGAAGTTTTTATTGGCTAGTCGAATAGAAAATATAGGTACATCACATTCAGTAATGTAGAGACGTGTCCTCCAAAATGTTAGGCTACATCACGTATACCTATTTCCCAAGAAATTGAAGCAAAGCTTTGACCATGTCCCTATCAGAATCCTTCACTCGTCATTGACCCAGAGTACTGCTTCCTCTCTGTCGTTATTGTTTCCCGAAGAGGCTTCGTAACAAATTTGTCGGAATTTGTATTGTAACAGCCTCGTACTCATACATGAAGATTGTCAATCTGTTTTCCCCTATTCTACTAGTTGTGATTGATTGTCTCCCGTAGATCACATACATCTAACTACTTAAATGAAAGCGAATCGGGTTATGGCCCAATATTTATTCTAAAGTCTATTTGAAGTATTTCCAGATAAATTTTTTTCCAATTCATTTTTCATTGTGCCTCTCAAAATCGATTAAAGCGAGAATGTATGCCAATTCTAAGAAGCCTTTTTCTAAAATGGAACAGATTTATATTTCTGTCTGGATTTCATGATACTGAAGCTCTACTGAGGATAGAAATCATTCACTTCTGATAACCTGAGTGGATAGAGACATGTGTCGGTCCCTGTATACTACCTTGATGACAAACGCTACACGTGAGGTGATTAATAAGGCACGCTACAGTATCAAACAGTTAATACGCATTGTTAAGGCTTTAGCCTATATGTTCTCATCCTGATCTTAAGGACAGACGTATGTATATCAAATATTTGTGTACATGTCGTTCGGAACTGGAGATTACGCCTTCCTACTCATTAGAATTTTCTCATTTCTCATCGTGGATTAGGGCTTCCGTATGAATTATATATTGTGACTATATCAAACATCAAAACATAACAGCATAGTAAAGTAATCACACAATTATTACCATTTTAACTTCATGTTTTTAGTATTGATAGCTTATTATTGTATAAAGGGACAAAATCCAATCTTCAGTTGTTATTTCAAAGATCAGGGTGATATGTTCAGAATGTTATGAGGAGTTTTATATACGGAATATACTTAGCGTTCTTGTTTCACTCAAATCTAAACTTATCAGAAATATTTTGCATAGTCAGGATACATAATGTTTTATTGTCGCTGATATTCTGAAAAGTGGTCTACACTATAGTTGACAATTTATATTTCATTGTATTAGAGATTCGTCTGCTGAATTTGCTTGAATTTCTGTTGATGAATATGCTACAACTTGAACACCTTCAAAATTTCTAGTCAAAAAGCCAATATGCTAACAAAGATACTGATTAATCTAGTCATATGTGAAAATTTTGTTTTATTGAATTCCTTTTAGTTATGACATTTACATTGTTTAAGTGTTTATCTTTATTCGTTCCTATAAAAAAACTATTTACATGTTTTAAGAAAATTTAATGTTACTTACTAGGACAACTATCAATAATCAATATTCCAATGTAGACCTTCTTTTGATACGTGTAACTAGTCAGGCGATATCAATTCATACTTTGTATCATAATAAAGTGATTTTCTCAACAAGCAAACAAAAAATCTTCTAATCATCAAAGATTTTTTTTATTCTTGGCATATAAACACAAAGGAATTGTGATTTCTACACAAGAATCAATTGTTTTCTATCATATTACTAATAGATACATAAATTTATTGACTATACTTTTAATTCATTGTAGATAATCACCAAGCTCAAATAAATAACAAGGTGTTATGAATGGAAAACACTTTAAATGTGCTATTATTATTATTATTATTATTATTATTCGATATTGATTGAATAGTACTATTCTGAAGAATGCAAGTACATTTGTTTCTTCCTGAAAATAAACACACCTTATTATATGATGATTAAGACGAAATGGATGAATTTGATTGGTTCTTTACTTTGATTGGTTAAAACATTTCTAATTCCATATATATATATATTACACTATTTACTAATAATATTATGTAATAAATCCTAAATCATAACACTTGAATTTGATTATGTCATAATGAAATTGTTATATTAAATATGCTTGGGACTTATAAATCTTATAATTTATTATGATTATTTTCTTTTAACTTCTCTTATTGTTAAATATATAACAAATAAAACGATTATGGCAATGTTATAAAACTTGATTACTTTATAATTGATTATTCAATCATTTAAATTGCATAATAATTAGGTAAGTTTTTTTTTATTTTTGTTCTTTTTTTTCTTCTTTTTTTTGAGATTTACTTCATTTTGTTACTTTGTTCCAAACTGGAATGAATCTTAATATAACAACACGATGGTTTTTAATGTTCATTATCAATGTTTGGTAAGTTTATATAATCTTGTTGTTAGGTATAAATTTATTATTAATAAGTAAACCCTATCATAGTTTATTCGAATTGATTAAAAATCTAAGTGAAGAGTCCAGTCACAAAATGGTAGAATCTCTAAACCTTTTAGAACCGTAACTTCGGTATCCTTATTTAAAAATAAAACGGAGACATTTTTTACAGAGATAACTATGTTATACTGGTGAGGTAGACAGAAATTCATAAAGATCTTGATATCCTTATATTATATTAGAATTTATAATCTTTAAGTAAAAAACTGTTAATCTTGATTCATTTTTTTCATTGTTTTTACATGGTATCTGAATGTTCAAGTTCAAAATTGGTCTTTCAATCGTAACATAAATCTGTTCAGTTAATTTTTTGGTTTGTAAAAAAAATCAATTCACATAACGTTTACATAAGAATTAATTGATCTAGATGAATTTGCCCTCCAAGTACAATTTATTTCAGGGTTAGGAAAACTCTTGAAAGTCTCTGTATCTATATAAAGGCATTTCTATTACGTAATAACTCAGTGAATTTCTACTTATCTGTTCGAAACATCTCAATTTATTTATAAAGGTATATTATTAGAGACTACTTATTAATTAGTGAATATTTTAGAGTGGATTTTAAATAAAGAAACAAAACTAAGACATCGTCATCACATATTTGAATGATTTGATGGTGTGGTTTAATCTTATCGTTTAATGTATAGATTTAACATGTTTTTATGCACTACGTGATTTTTTCCATGGGTTATTTTTATTACCCCGATATATTTATTGCATGCATAACAACCGATATTTTTCATGGTTATCAATTAACTTAAGTTTTATCAATGATTAGGGATTCAGTTTTCACTTTATGTTTCTATGTAGTTAACAAATGTATTTAAATGTTCCTCTGAACGTGAACAGTTTTTTTTCTCGGTTATTATGTTTATGGGAAAATTCTATCACTAAAAATAAAACAAAACAAACAGTCATATTTCCTGCAAAACACATTCTAGTGTTAATTTCTTTACAGTCTAATTGATAACGGATATTTTTTAATGAAGATTTAAGAATTCTCCCCCCAAGTTCAATATTTCAATTTCTGGTAAACGATACGAACTTGTTGTTTGCTCAAATTAGAAATAAAATTAAAATCGAACTGCACAGATTCGTATACATAAATATAAATAGCTTTCATGTAAACAACTGTTGTTCAAGTACTGAATTCCAATAGTTACCAGAATTATGTTTTTTAACTCTTTACTGAGTAAGCTTGGAACTTCATCAGTTAATCACCCTAGCTGATCATTGTGGATCGTTTTATTTTTATGATTAATGATTCTCTCAGTCTCATTGATGATCTTTTTGAAGGAGAAACAATATTGCCTTGTTCCAATTCTCTCAGGATATATGTGGTTACCGCCAATAACTATTAATAAACTTAAAACCTAGTTTATAACATATTAACGGTAACCTTTGATTAGTCGAACATAAAGTTTTATCTATCATATTTAACTGGCTAAGATTAAGCTTTTGAAATGTTGCATAATAGGGTCATTGGAACTCTGGACAAATTTCGTTATAATTTCGATTTACAATGAACACGTAGTTTGTTTCAATGATAAATAAATAAATTTATACGTCATTATTGCTGATAAATTTGTGAGCTGTGCCACCCCGCATTTTTAATTTATGTTAGTTATAGCAAAAATAATAATTGTCTTGTCGTTTTTTTATTTCTGGTAAAAATTTCAGATTCTTTATATCTGACTGGTTGAATGTTAAATCCTTGTAGACACAATCTTCGTGACGTTGAGGATGAATTTTAACACTTGTTGACAAAGTTTATATTAAACTTCTTCGAGACTTATCGTTAATTACATACAAAATGTTGAATTACTTAGAACATTAAGAACATCATGAACTTGACTTACAGAAACCATTGAACATAAAAGTTTGTAGAGTATGATACTGGTTGTTCTTTATCGATCAATAGATTGTTTTCATAGTCTATCAATAGTTGATATTAAGAAATGTATAGTTAACAAATATTCACGTTTTATAATAAACAGATGATCATTTGAGAGCTTAATAATAGATTACTTTAGAAATCAACTACACATGATATAGAATATTGGTAACGTAAATGATGAAATTATATTTAACCAGTGAAAAGAAATTACCCTCTCTTGATAACTATGAAAACATTCATATACGACTATCATTCAAATTGCTATCAAAAGAAATGGAACTGAGAGGTATATTGCCAATTTAAAGTGACTTTTAATAATTCGGAATCTGTGTTTTCATATTTTGTTATTCTAAACTCTCCTGAACAATCCCTCATTCATCATGTTGATTAACAAACAATCAGTTACTCACCCGTGCAAAACGACTCGTTTAAAACACTAAGCTTGAAGTAAATGACTAATCAAACCTTCTTTATTTATTTAAGACGAAAAGTTTAAAATGACAATGTAAGGTTAGAAATTCTCAAGTAAATTAAAAGATCAACCACAGAACAAGCTAATCAATACTTAATGGAGCGCTTTGACTTGGACAGATGAATAGATATTAACTGCTAACCTTGAACAAAAATAGTATATATGTATATATATTATCCATAGTGGTCTAGCTTCAATTGACTCATGATTTCAACTATTGAAATTACTACAATATCCACAAAAACCCCTTCTGATACATAAATAAGCTTAATAAATGAGTCATCATAAAGGGTAAAGGAGTATTTAACATTAAGTTACCGTTACACCCATTACCATTGAATAACAAAACTGTTGGAGAGTGATCTAATATTTTATCTTTGTCTATCTTGTTTTTCAATGCTTTCTCTTAATGTTGTTTCTTTCATATTATAGTAAGTTAATGACCTCAGATATCTGAATAAACCTTTCAATAATTTTAATTCTGGTGAGTTTATTCTGACAAATAATTGTAGCATGTTATAAAGTGCTCTTGACCGAGGTAGTAAACAATTTTAATATTAAAAAATATCCAAGTGAGAACAGTATCTTGTACTCGAGGTAAATCTTATGAAATACCTTTAAGTAGATTGTGAATTAATTTTTGAGTGATCAAATGACACCCTTATCAGTTCATTACTACTTCCCCTAAAATTGACTCAATTTTAACATTGATCCCACTACATTTATACGGGCTCATACTGATCAAATATATCACCTATCATCTCAGTTATGTATATGTAGAAACTGTGTATTATAAGCTGAAGATTAAAGTACAGAAGGTCGAAAACTCAGTTTTCTTGTTTGTTTGTTGCTCATCAGTAAAGATTATCTACACTACTTTGAGAAGACTCACAGGTTTGAACCAGGGTGGCCATAAGTATTCGCGTCAAACTAATCAAATCGCTGATTACAGTCATAAAAAGACAATAATAGCAGCACTTCAGATGTCTGTGCTTTTTCACATCTAATGTTCTGTGTGAATATAAACTTGGTCCTTTTCAATACTGCTGTCTATCATGCGTTGCATTCATCTTAGAAAACTAGCATTTAAAGATAATTGAATCACTGGGTGGTTATTATTCTTATGGCATATATTTCTCGTTAGTCAAACATATCAACAGAAAGAAATGACATTAGGTAACTTTTCTCTCTTTTAGGTGATTGTTGAATTCACTTATAAACTATATTGGTAGCTTTAACTCAACTAAGAATACTTGATATGGAAGTTAACTCATATTTAAATCAACATTGAAGCGTTTATGTAATTTTTTCACAAATTTTTTCATTAACTCACTTAAATCAATCGTTGAAAAACATTAAAAGGTCAGTGAAAAATAAGAGAACACATAATCAATATAAAAAATATTTTCTTTAATAATCAGTAACGATAAAAAGATACTTTCCTGTTAGTAAACTATCTTTATTATAAGTATTAATTAGTAGAAATATATTGATCACTGTCAATCTCCATAAAGATATTCAAGCTTTTATTATTGATTACTTTCGATAAGTTAGACGTTGATTGACCAATTATAAATTGCTGGTGGTAAGGTCCTTGAAAGATCATCGTCTTTGTTTATCAATCAATATGGTATCGAGAATAAAGCATTTGATAAGAATATAATAGTTTATCTAGAATCTTAATACTTGAATATAACTTTAATCATCGTAAAAGATCGATTGCTGTTTCTCAGATAGTGTTCCAAGCAACTGTTAATTCACAAATTTTCATCTAATATTCAACTTCTGATCAGGATCACTAACAACCATCAGAGTTAGTGTATTAAATGAGTTCATTATGGTGAACATCATCTAACGGATCGGAATTATTCATATCATGAACCGAAGTAACGTTGAATTGAAGGATCAAATGCTTTTTTTTGACGAAATCAATGAATTACTCTAAATTGCAATAATAATTAGTCCTAGTATAGTTAATAAAATTGAACTATGGTTCTTAAAGTTAATCAACATCTATATATCGTGAGATATAGTTTCCCTCTTCACCTAATTGATGTGTTTAGTGTTATAGTTCTAAAAAGCAGCCTCACTCAGAAACTAGGAAATCACTCTAGTCATCAGTGTGAATATTTATCAAGTAATCAATATATTGCATGTAATTTATGTTGAAACTGAACCAAGGACAACTTAAATGAATGAAAGTATTTTAACTTTGAACAGAGTGTTAAGGATTGATGAATAAATTATTTTACCATCTAGGTTTGGATACACAATGTTAATACATAATTAATCTAAACAAAAAGATTATGATTTTTACATAGTAGGAATATCTAAATCAATGGTAATATTTCTATATGTCAGAGGGAAGGGGACATAAAAGAACGATTCGTATATTTTATATTATTCTTAAAATTTGTAGAC